CCTGCCCATGGCAGGGGTGGCACTGGACGGGCTTTAAGGTCCCTCCCAACCCAAACCAGTCTTGGCAGACAAGCTGATAAATCTTTGTTTAATGGGCAATTCCAATTTTTAATTATCATTCACTTGTTAATTGATAAGTTGAACCCTCAGACTGAATTTTGGTTGGTTTGGGGTTAGTTTTTTATTGCTACTGTCACAGTGCTAAGGGTGTTCTTCCCTCTGCCCATTTATTCTGTTTAGGTGATTTATGATCAAATATTGATCGTAATTTTAGCATTAATATCCTTTGGTCATATTGATCTACAAAACACTTTAGAAGGACTCCATTAAAAACATAACACCCAAAAAGCACAACACATTAAGATGTATCCAAACCCAGATATAAAGAGAAATTGGGCGAGGTTTAAACCTGGAGGATTCATTAAGCAAGGTTTAAACCATTCTATTTTCTTTTGGTGTAAATTGTGCCTATTTTGTGTTGTGTCTGACTCTGCAGAGCTTCTCCCCTTCCTTCCTCCCTCAGACTGTGAGTCAGCTTTTAATTTTTCCTATAGTTATTAATAACTTTAATATTAAACAAGCTATTTGTTGCTTCACTTCAAACTCATCTTCCATTCTAAAGCTTCAGATTTAATCCCAAAACAACTCCAGAACCATTAATGTCTCTATTGCAGTGATTTTCCTTCTGAACACTTACAGCACAGCTTCTGCCACCTGCCAGGAAACTGGGTGGTTTTTTGCTCAGCTCTCAGGAGAACCCATCAGGGGAACTGGCAGATCAGGTACTTAAACTTTGGAATATTTACTGAAAAATGGATGTTATTAGAGCCTTGTCACTAAAGACTGATTTGTACCTTCTCTCTGAAGAACAGAAATACCCCAAACCCACACAGGTCTCACAACAGACTGAGCAACAAAGCAGGAAGCCACAACCCCAGACACCCACGCTCAGGGACAGCAGGAGAGGATGAACAGCAGGTGAAATGCTGGTGGCAGGAGGAAATCAAGGCTCTTTTATTCAAGATTTCAGTTTGAACTCCTGATTCCAGCAGGTTGGACCCAGGAGAGCCTTGAACTCCTTGGATGCCAAAGCACAGGAAGGGTTAATTTCAGATTTGCAATCAGAGTCAGAGCTCAAATTTGTCCCTGAAGAGATTCTGCAGATTGGGGTGATTCAAACCCTGAGTTGGAAAGCTAAGTAGCATTTTCTTAAAAATAAAATAAAAGCCAAATCAACCCCCCAAAAGACAGATTTGGGAACGTTGCCAAACCTGACCATCTAAATCAACCACTTCAGTTACTTTTTTCCACGACCAAGTTAGAAAATGATTCACTGAACACTTAGAAGGAAGGGTTATTAATGAGTCCTGGGTTACCTTCAGCTGATTATTGAAAATATCGATCTCCTGCAGTTTGGATCTGGTTTCTTTCTCCACTTCATCCAGCTGGTCCCGGAGCTGCTGCCGTGCCAGTTCCTTGGCTTCCAGGGCTCTCTTGATGGTAAGAAGAGAATCTCCTGGTTTCAAACATATTGGCAAACAATTATTTCTTATATGGAGCCCAGCAGGTCATAGAAAGCAACGTTTTTTAATATGGAGCTTGCAACCCCCAGAAAGCAACTCCAGAGGACACTGGAAGGAGGGAACGTGTCCTACCCAAGGTGAGACACACCCAAAAATCTACTCACTGTGCAAACTGTTCTGCTGGACTTGCTTGAGCTGATCATTGAGCAGCTGCTTTTCTGGGATCAACCTCCCCAGCATCTGCTGAGACTCCTGGATCCAGGACAGGGAACACGAGAACAGAGACAGGCACAGGGTGAGTGAGGGGTCACTTCAGCCACAACACCCCTCACTGCATTTCTCCTGCACCTCTTCCCTCACTAACTGATGTTCTACTGCTCCTCCCCAACACTGTCTGTGTGATATTCCCACCTGGACATGGTTCTCTGCCAATACAAAGGACTGAGTGTATCAAATCCAACTGATTCTCCTTGAAGATGGAACTTGGCTTGGGATTACCCGAAATGCAGGGCAAAAAGTCAAGGACAAATTTCAGGAAAGGTTCAAACAAGCACTTCCTAATTGTTTTATTCTCATTTTAATAAACGAATCCCAGAATCCCAGAGGCTGGAAAAGCCCTCCCAGCCCATGGATCCCCCTGTGCCCCATCCCCACCTTGTCCCCCAGCCCAGAGCACTGAGTGCCACGGCCAGGCCTGCCTTGGACACCTGCAGGGCTGGGCACTCCAAACCTCCCTGGGCAGCCCCTGCCAAGGCCTCACCACCCTTTCCAGC